TTGTTGTTGCTGCTGCTGCTGCTGGTGCGTGGGGCGGCGGCGCTGGCTGGGCGTGCGGGTTGTTGTGCCCACGCAGGGCCGGGCACTCGAGGAGATGCTGCTTCTGCCGGCTGGTGTTCTTCGCTCGGATCTGCTGGCAGTAGATGCACTGCACGGAGAGACACTACAAGGCGGCGCAAGGGGGAACCGCATCCCCGGACAGCTTTTAGTCTTGTTTCTTCTTTGGTTTTTATATATAACTCTCTCTCTCTCTCTTTCGCACACAAACAAACAGCAATACATGAAAATACGGGGCGAGTTTCACCTTGTCGTCTTCCTTGGCGCGAAACTCGACAAACGCGGCGTGGACTTCCTGGTCGACGGTGCGACCCATCGTAATACCGCAGCGCGAGACGGCGACGGTACGGGGCAGCAGCAGCGAGGGGTCGACGGCCGGCGGCTGGGCGGCTGCTCGCTGGCCGGGCGCGAGAGGATGCACACTGGGCGGGCTCTCTTCTCTTCTGTCTCTGTCTCTGCTCTTCTGTCTCTGCTGCGCTCTTTGTCGCTGTCTGTCTCGATGTCTGTCTCTGTCTCTCGATGTCTCTCGATGTCGATGCCTCGCTGGCTCTTCGCTGTCGTCTCGTCTTCGGTCTGTCCGCTGCTCGTCGCTGTCGCTGTCGCTGTCGCTGACCCGGAAATCTCGAGCTTGCGACGCCAAAAAGAGGGAGGAAAAGTCGATGGAGACAGAGAAAAGGCGAAAAGGAGCGGAAACGTGACGATAAAAAACAGGAAACGGAAAAACCGTCACCGCGTTCGGGCGTATTTTACGTCACAGCTGCTGACTAACCTCGGAATGGGGCTGTATTGTTCCGTAACGGCCGTAACTTTGGTCTCAGGTTACTGTTTTTCCCCTGTATTACAGTACCGCCCTGTACTGTTTGTTTTCTCTTTTTATTACCGTACTCTTACTCTTACTCGTCCGTATTTAATATTACATTATTCTATAGATTCACTGTCGAGTCAAAAGAACAAACGACGAGGATGGTAAAGGAACGCGATGGTGATCAAGATTTGTCTTTTGAGACAGGTCGGCGTTGGACAGGCTGTGCTGGCTGTGCTGGCGGTTGGGCGCCCGGTTAGACGAGAGCGCTCTTGGCCTGCGTAATGCACACTATTAACGATATAACCAAGTACTCCGTACAAACATGCCAGAGCCTTCAGGGGGATATAACATCTACATGTCTATGTCTGTCGAATAAAAGGGGGCTATGCCAGCTCAAAGGAAGAAGAAGAAGACGGGTGAGTCCTGGTTAGCCCTGCCTTTGAGGTCATCGACACGGCTGACAAGTGATCAATAATTAATAAACGGCCAGGCGAACGGACGTCGCCGGCTGACTTTGCGCTGTCGCTGCAGCCCTCTCCTCTGGCCGCCAAAGGGGAGGACGGCCACTCGGACGGCCACTACTTGGACAGCTGGCTGACGGCGCCCTCGCTCAGCCAGTCGCAGCTCGGCTTCGGCCCGGCCGTCTTTGTCTCGGTCTCAACTCACCTGCTGGCCAATCCGAACCTGATATCCCCCAGCCTGTTCAGGGCAGACATCCTCCATGACAGTGCTGGAGTGCTGGCCACTGCCACTACAGAACACGAGCATCATGGCCCAGCATCAGAAAAAGAAGCTGAGAGTGTATGCCATGCAAAGGACACTCGTCTGCCTCTTCATTTCCCTGGATTCGACCTGGACCGGGTCGTCGTCAGGAGGCTGATACCCAGAAACCCAAACCTCGATCCTCCCCATGACCAGACATGCCGTCTATACAAAAACACAAAAGAAGCAGATATAACATCTCATCTGGCCGTATACTACCCCCACGCGGCCCAGGAGAAAGATATACCCTTCTACCATCCACTCGTCCGCGGATTTGCCCTCCTGTACTCCCACTCCACCTCCACCGGCCAAGGCACACTCTCCCTACACTTCCTCCCCTTCACACCAGGCATACCGTCCACCGTCTCCAACCGTCTGCACCGCACCCTCCTCAACCTCCTGTCCATTCACGTCCGTCTTGCCTCTGGCCCGGCCGCAACCTCGCATCCAAGTGGCTCGCAACCACGGCCGTTCAAGGATAACCTCATCCCCCAACACACCGTGCAGAACACATATACCAGGCTAAAGTCAAAGTATGCCCCCAGCCTGGTCAGGAACTGGGTGGAAGTCACCGAGCCCTCGAAACATGTATTCGAGGACCTCTCCATCGCCGCATTCCTCATCGAGCTATGGAATGTCATGTATCACATCCCTTCTTGCTCCTCTGACTACTCTGACCAAGAAGAAGTAGACAAACAGCCGGACGTGATGAAGCGAGATGCTCCTGTCATGAGAACCAACTTTCCTGGATTCGTTGACATTGCATGCGGTAATGGAGTGCTGGTCTACATCCTTCTGGCTGAAGGGTACCGGGGCTTCGGGTTCGATGCACGCTCACGCAAGACCTGGTCTATCTTCCCTCCCTGGGTGCAGCAGCAGTTAAAGGAAAGCATATGTGTGCCCCAGCCCTATCAAGATGTACTAGCCCCAGCCCATTCAGACGACTCAACAACAACAACAACAACTATATCCGGCCTCTTCAAGAGTGGCACATTCATCATCTCTAACCACGCAGATGAACTCACCCTTTGGACTCCGCTGCTTGGAGTCCTGTCAGACCCCTACCAACCACTGCCCTTTCTAGCCATACCATGCTGTTCCCACGCCCTATCAGGCGCCAGATACCGCTATCCGCCTCCCAAACATCCAAAAACAAACACAGCACACGGCGAAGAAAAAGAAGAAGAAGAGGCGGAGAGTGACCGATACGAACATCAGCCGCAGAGTGGTGATTTGAAAGCCCTACGAAAGAAAAAGCTTGAAGCCCAGCAGAACCCAGCCTCGGCCTCGTCTACCTATGGCTCGCTAACGGCAAAACTGGTCTGCATCGCCGAAGACGTAGGCTATCAGGTAGAGAAAACGTTAATGCGTATACCTAGCACGCGAAACATGGGCGTGATAGGAGGCCTCGAGGCATGCAAGACGGCTTTTAATCTCCGGTCTGAAACGGAGGATGCCACCACAACTCAAATCACTCGGCTGGCGGATCAAGGATTGAAACTTGACGCTGACAAGCGTAGAGAGAAAGTCTACAGTGTCGTAGAGCGGGAGACGAGTAGGGATGGTGGAATCAGTGTTGCTGCTACGGCCTGGGTTGAGCGATCAACCAGCCTGCTCAAGGGCCAGGGACGAGGCAGACTTCACGGCTCCAGAAGCGACCATCATGATTAAATACACTAACCCGCCAATCCAAGTAGTTATTACGTATAAGTATGTCATGCGACTTGAAAAGCAGTAGAGTCGCGAGACTCTGAAAAAGAAAAGTAATAATGCAAGGTGCTATCTATGTCAAATGGATATCCAAAGTAACCACCCATCGCCAATAATGTTGAACCGCATACATGCAAATCAGATAACAGGAAAATAGAAGAAAAGAAAAAAAGCGAGACATAGCTAAATCTTCTTCACCCTACCATCGCTCTCTTACCTCGGGCCTTCTCTGACAGTCCCTGCTGAGCCTTGACTTCCTTCATTCGTAACACGCACCGCTGAAAGTCCAGCTGCGTATAATCCTCGGGCATGAACTCGCCGCTGAAAATACACAGCACCGTCATGCCGGGCTTGTATACCAGTCCACCAAGCAGCTTCGGCGTAATCAGGAAGTACTGTCCGCCAGTGGTGCCTGAATCGGCTTGTCCACAGGCAATATCAACCATGCGCTCGTGGACCATACGCTCATTCCGAGGGTCCATGCCCTGGTTGATCTCGTCAACTACCCTGAACGGCGAGGCAGAGAGTGACTGCAGCGCCATGAGGTAGAAGATAGTGCTGACTGCTCGCTCACCACCAGATTGCCGATGCGAGTCAAGAATGGATAGCTCTTCGTGTTCTCGGAACTTGACCTGTATTTTGATGGACCACTGGTCGAAATCGCTTCCGGGCCCAACATCGTTTCCGGCTCCTTCGTTCTTATCAACCGATACCTGTCCTGCGCATCCAATACGTGCAAAGTTGTCTGCGAATGCATCACTGATCTTAGACACGATTGCATCCAGGCGTGGTTCCCACTCGCTTCGTATCTCCTTGATAGACTGTTCAATCGCAGCCAGTCTCTCTTCTGACAAGCTGAGCTGTTCTTTCAACTGGTCGATGCGGAGTTGTCGTTGCTCGAACTCTTGAATGACATTGCCGCTTCCTTCGTGCGTCAGCTCAAGCCTGGCCTTCTCAGAGTCGATGTCTGCTTCTAGCTGCTCGATGGTGTGGTCCTTGACCTCTTCGCTGACTTCTCTCAGTCCAGGGGTCGAACCCATCTGAGAAACAACGGCTCGGACTTCTGCTTTTGACGTTCGGAGCTTATCTCGCAATTCATCTAGCTTTCGCACCACCTGTTCGACTGCTGCTGTCTTCTCGCTGAGCTCACCCGTATACTCAGCATTCCTTTCCTCTAACGTGCTCACGTCGGACATGGCTTCGATTGCAAGGATTTCCACACGAGCCACTTCCTCAAGTGTTTTGGCGAGAGATACCACCGCAGCCTTATCGAGATGTTATTATTAGCTCCTCAACTTTCCTATCAATCAATAATTCCATAAGGGGACTCACAGAGTACTCAAGAGCCACTGCGGCTTTCTCGACAGCAAGCTCATCTTGCTTGTCTCGCAATGCTTCAACTCGATCTCTAATACCCTCTACCCGAGTATTGCATACTTTCAGTTTCTCTTTTTGTTGGGCTAGTTAAGTGTGGTGTCAGCATTGGGTCGTAGCACATAAACTTGAAGACGTGGAACAAATCAACTTACCAAGCTTTGTTGGGAGAGCGTTATAGTTCACCATTGCTGATTGTTTCTCTGCTTTTTCCCTTTCAAGTTCGTCCTTTTCACCAGAAGCTGCGTCTCTTTCACCCTTTAGTCGCTGCAGCGTACTCCTTTCTTCCTCACCGGAAGCAAGTATCTCGCTCAGCTCTTGTTTCCATTCTGAAATGCAGTTCATCAGGTCTCGTTCAGTGGAAGAGGAATCGACAAGAGTGTCAGTCCAGATCCGAGCAGGCCATAATTGCCTTACTCTGGTGGTTGTTGCACTTGGGCCATATTCATGACGGCGGATGACCTGATAAGCTTGCTTTCCAGCAACCCAGGTCGTTATGGTCCCTCTCTCCAGCTTCCGATATTCCTCATCTGAAATGTCCCTTAAAGTGACAGCCGTTTGATGGAACCTATTCTCACTACACAGCATCGCTAGAACAGGTTCCGGGCCGTCTAGATAGTCTTTTGCCCAGCCATCAAATCTCAGCGAGCGAAGATCTTCATCGGTTACCGGAGGTGACATGCTGGACAGCGACACCGTACATGTCTTTATACTTATATCGTGTAGGCCCAGCTCCTGGTTTAGAAACCGCTGTAGCTTTCTGAAATCCTCCCGGGATTGTGTTGTAAAAGCAATAAAGTCATTTCTTTGTAGAAGAGACTCGGCAGCACTGGCATACCTTGGGTCTTTGACAGAGAACTCCACAATTGGAGGCCCATACACACGCTTGTCAAACTTGTCTTGATTCTGCTTTATCCATTCCCAGGCTTTGAATGAATGGTCGGAGAGCCGTTTCAACTTCTCCTCTTGCTGGCCAGATTGAGACTTCAAATCAATCAATCGCTGCTCAGCATTGGCAATCTTCCTCTTATGGGTCTCCACCTTGCGCACGGTGTCTGACTTTCTAGCTTGGATTTCTCTCGCCTTTTCTTCGACTTCACGTATACGCCGGACACAGTCACGCTGGGGACGATTAGGACCATGGAGATATTGATCGAGGAGGGGTACGTTGAACTCACTATTTTCTCGCTATATGCAGCGCCATCAAAATCAACGGCCTCTTCTTCCATTTGACGCTGGAGCCTGTTGATACTTTGTTGGACTCTCTTGCATTCCTCCACCTGCCTACCACCGTTTTGCTTTTCTGCCTCGATCTGATTGCTCAGATCCTTTATCTTGTCATCAATCTTGACCAGTTTCTCCGAGATGGCGGTTGCAGCCTCTTCTCCTCTTTGCGAAAGGACTCTCTTCTGTTTGAGCACAGCTTCTATTTTAGAATAATAGGCCCGTTTCGAGTTGACAGCTCTCAGTGCCGGTTCCAGTTTCCTTTCCAGCTCTTGTTGTTCCCGCAATAGCCTCTGTTTCTGTTCCAATACTTCACTGGTTTCTTTCTTGCATGAGTTAAACCGAGGCAGAGGTCTTGACATTTCCAGGAATTTCAGCCGCTTTTTAATTTCCTCTCGTTGTTTCATTCGTTCCACATCCTCGCGTTGCATTTGTTGGCGCTTTTCCAGGTTGGCCAAATGTTCTCTCTGGCCCTTACTCTCTTCCAAGATCTCTTTTTGCCCTGACCGTAATTCTTTCAGGCCATCATGCCATTTCACCATTTCAGGCCCGGCGGCTGCTCGTTGGGTAGAATGCAACAGATCAATGGGGGATAAGGCAGCGAATTCGCTCACTTTATCCTGAGGAAGAAATTGACAAAGATTGTCAATTTGGATTGAGAACGACTTTGCAAGCGATAACACAACATTTTGCCTAACAGGCTTCCCATTTATCGAGAATGTGCTTTTATTTCCTTCACGCTTAATCGTTCTGCAAATTATCGGGTTTTGATCCATATCTGCTCTGGCTTTAAGCTCAATCTCAATGGTAGCTTCGTCGGCACCATGTTTCACGAATTCAGCTACGTCTTTAGCTCGACCAAGATACTACGGTAAAAAAGAACACAATGTCAGTGAATAGGCTCACATATAAACCAGAGTACTAAGTTCGCATATGCTCACCGATGGCCCCCATCCGAGTCCAAGGCATATGGCGCAAACGAAGGTACTTTTTCCAGTTCCATTAGGTCCAATCACCATGTTTAGTCTCGGTCCCGGATGACATTCGGCAGAGGTATAAGTCACGAAATTCGTTAATTTTACTCTCACAATCGACCCAGGGAGGTGCTCGAGGCCTTTCCCTACAGCATTTCCCATGCCCGGGTTACGGGAACCTCCATGATGCCCATTACTCGAAGATGCCGCATTTTCAGAGGTGTCTCTCAAAGCTCTTGTTACCAGCGTCTCATCCTTACGGTCCTCATCACTGTCATCTTCCTCAGACGAAGATTCCTCACTTGCTTCGCTCTCACGGTCATTTCTTCCAGTACTTAGTCTAACGCGTTTGCTGCCGTTAGATGCATGCGAGAACGGGGTCCCATCTCGGCCCTCGCTGGACGCTTCATCGTCATCAGAATCGGACTCTGCAGCCCTTTGCCGTCTTCTCGGAGGCGCTAGGGTGTCTGGCATCGTCCCACAAAAGCCAGTTGCTGTCGCCGTTAGGCTCTTGTTGACATTGAATCCGTTCGCCGTGACAAAATAAATTCTCCCACATCAACTAAGTAACTTAAGCCTGGGCGCGTCGCGAAGACGCTAAGCCTATTTTGGATAAATTGGATATATGCACACCCCCTTTTCGATTTGGGTTCCCAGCGCTTTACTGAAGTCAGGTCGTATGATTCAGTTCTATATGTACATAGCTTGTTCTCATTCATGGAATTATATTTAGTTATCTATATTATCAACTGAGAATGGCAGAAAGCGCTGCTTGTGTTTTTTACCCTGGCCAAACTCGTAGAATGGACGTGAAAAGTGTTATGTTCTGCTGGATATTGATACAAGTCAACCCCATGGTATCTGATCGCCATCAGAGTATCAAACCGGTCAAATGACCCTGTGCCCCGTGGTATATGTGTGGTATATGTGTGGAAAAAGTAGTCGTCCCAATCCGATGCGCCATAACTCCTAGCATACATACCCTAAAAGAAGAAAAAAAGAAGCCCCCATCCCGCAGATTTTCGTATGACGTCTATAAACATGGCTCAAAATGCCCACACCCCGATTATAGTTAAGCCGGAAATGATAATGGCGGAGTAAGGTAGAAGAGGAAGGTAAAAGTAGATATAGGTTGTGGCGCCCAAGAAGAGTCGTAAAAAAATGAGTCGACATAGCGTAAGCCAGAAGTGGACCTTGCACTGCAGTACTAGTCAATAGTAGGGTGGCAAACTTTCACGACTAGAAATAGTTCCCATTTGGTAAAGTCATGAAAATGCCAACGAGCACACCGGTAATCGCGGTTCCGAGTGTCGTTGAGCGGATGATGGTCATGGTCTGAAGCTGGCAAAGGGTTGGATCTTGAATTCGCACTGGTGGATCTAAAACTTTGCTGAAGAAGCCTCTTTTCTTGTTCTTCTGCCTCCAAGGTTCGTTATCGTAGGAATTCGTTGACCCGAAAGCATCAAATGCGCTCCGATCAAGTCGACAGGAGTTCTTTGGAAGTTCATTTGTTGCGCCGTATATCTCCCAGGGGTGTAGTTGACGCTTGTAAAAACAAAGGAATAACTAAAAATGGACGGAGTAAGCATTGAGGATAGCTGTATGGAGTTGGAAAACCACATACCATGCAGGTTCCTTCCATCGCAGCAATCAATGATGCGATACCAGGAAATAGAAGCAGGGCAGAAAACATCCTCCAGCCGCGATGGACTTTACTGAATACCAAAACAATGGCTAAGGCGAGCCCGCAGGCGATGATTAGCATGCTAAATACACGAGCACACAGTAGCCGGCTGCTATTGCTGTTATTTAGAGACCATCGGAGGAATTGCGGGTGAGATTGTTGGCGTAGATTCCATTCGACTTCTTGGACTACGCCGGCAAAGGCGGATGGATGGGTGGTGGCGGATAGAGCTTGCATTACTATTATGCGCTCTATTGACGTGAGATTCAGCTGTCGGGGTGCATTATCTAAGATGTAGGTGGATATGATTCGGTTGATTTCCTTGCGATGTGGTTGAATAGTAACTGAAAATTGTAACTTGTTAGCAATGGTTGGTTGGCACAATAGGTAATTGATAGAACTGGCAGTCATACATGGCTCAAGAGGGTTGATACCGTCGAAGGCGCTTGATTCGTCAATAGACTCCTGGCATTCCGCTGCTTTCGATCCCCCATCCCAGTCAAACCAGTCTCCGCGGGTAATACTGCTGGTTTCAAGGTCGACGTGAGAGCTGCTTGGGCGGGTTGCAAAAGGTGTCAAATCATCCAGCTCAGTTTCTCCAACAGGTGGAAAGGCGGGAGCGGGTACAAAAGCACCAGTAACAGAAGGGGCACGCTTTGCTCTCTCTTTCGATTGATTGTTAAGCCTGATCACTCTCTTCCGTTGCTCTTCCGTCCACGGCGGTGACAATGCCCACTGCGATTCAGAGAGGGCAGCGAAGCGCTGGATGTAGTCCTGGTACCATAGGTAGAATTGAAGATTTTCGGCAGCGCGTTCAACATAAAGGAGATAATTCATAAAATCGACCAATCCACAGGGCTAAATATATTGAATGTTAGATATTTGTTCCGTCCAGAATAAAATATGTGACACTGACCGAACAAGTGCAGCCGTTAACGATCGATTCAAACGACAGGGCCTTTTTCCTGCTCCCAAAGAACAGCTTCTTCCAGGAGAGCCATTTATCGGGATTCGAAGACGGAGACGAGTTACATGGCTGATTGCGGGATGAGCGCAGGCCATACTTGGGTGCCATATCAACAGGATATCATGGCGCTGGGAGTTCCAGAACAACGAAGGATGGCAAACAAAGAAAGAGAGAATAAATCGAAGAAATCGAAGAAATCTGGAATGTCGGAAGGAATGGATCAAGGTCAAGTACAACCAGCAAGCGGCGACTTGGCGATCTTCAACCTTCGCAGAACCTTCCAACCGGTGAAGAGGGGAGGAGAGTATCCGTCCGCTAGTATTTTAATTGCTACGAGGTGGAGATATAGGCGAAGAGTTTGGAGTTAGGCGAGACGGTTCACCCCCAAGGCTTCCCTTGCAAGGGTATCTGATCCTCTGGTCCAGAAAGCCTCAAGTGGGCAAACGGATCATAAACATTAATTTTTGGCTGCTGAGTATATGATATCTATCTTCTGCAACCCTTTGTACGGAATAAAAGTGAATGCGACCCTGCTTGGTCCAGGCAGGAGGATGGCATCCGATGTGCACGTACTTAATTGTTGACTAACTCTTTTGTCAGTCTCGGGGGAATGGGAACATCAACCCATAACCCAGGAAAACAGAAGAAAAAAAAAAAAAAAAGCCCGCACATCCGTGATGGGTTTGGGTAAACTAAAAAGGGTTGAACAGCTCACGAAGCAAGGGAACGAGACCCTGAAATCGAACTCGTCTTGCACCTCGACCAGCTGGCCCTGCCGAAGAAACGATGCTCACAGGCGGAAAATAGAATATGATTTTTTCTCTGGAGTGACGGGGGGGAAATGCCGTTGAAGCATCCCGGGAAACCGCTCCAGGAAAATAATCGACACCGCTTGCTTCCAGAACCAGGAGCCCCAAGCCGAGGAAGAACGATGGTTCGCCAGCATTCTGCGTGATGCGCGGCATCGCCTTTCGCACGACTGCTAGCAGCGGCCCCCTAAGTATATTATTATTACTCTCTGCTCCCATACTCTGTACATCACCCGCCAGGAGCGAGGGATGCCAATGGAAAAGCAGCTTGACTGTTGCTCAAAGCCCGCTGATTCGGTAAGGATAGTCCCTGCAGATGACGGGGTCTTCTGACGAGCCAGTGAGCACTACAGGCTCCTTATCGAATAGTTGGTTTTTCCGAACGCAAGAAATCTCCCTGAAGAATCGTCAACTCGGCGCCCCCTCTGACTCCATGACACCCAGGACGCGACTTGAATGGCTGGCTGGGCAAATGTGGCTTTTTTGCCCAGATTTGTCGAACTGACACGAGCAACCAGTTAACCTCGTATTAACCCAAGACCGGGCCGGCTCGAGAACCAGGGCAGGCTGCAGGCTAGGGGAACCCTCTGTGGGGTTACATCGTAACTCGACTTTCTTGCCTGGCGGGAAGAAGCGTCCTTGCGGAGCAGACAGGCGACAGCTCACATGTTAGCTGTTTTCCGTTCCTGCAGGCCACAAGCATTATTATTTCCTCCACGCCGTGCTCTGCTGTCCTCACAACCCGCACCCTGTATTCCTTAAGTACTAGTGGCTTCGCAAATGCCGCTCTCTCCCTGGGGCTGTGCTGTACTCCGTAGTTATTATTCTTGTTGTTGCTGCTGGTGCTGCTGGTGCTGCTGCTGGCGAAGTCGTGGATGGACGTTTCTGCAAACTTCGGACGTTGCTTTTTTCCCCTTTCAGTTAAATTCAAATTATGTAATGCATTCAGACAGAGTTCTTACCTAATATGATTATGTAAAAATGAAATGTGAGGAAGGAGCGCCTTCGGCTTGATCATGTGACGTGTGAAGTTTTATTACATAATCATCAGCTGTGATCACATGTTACTCGAGTTGCCTAAAGGGGAAATGCGATCTCGTCTCCTTTTTTTTGCCTTATCTTTTTTTTTTTAGCCTTTTTCTTCCTTTTTTGCGCCTGTCACATTCAGCGCTGCGGATGACATCGAACGAACAACCCCAGCTGGAACACTGTCGGTCGTGATGATATCTTGCTGAGCGGATGCTGCATGGCGGCTGTTTTATATACCGACAGATACCCCAGTTTCTGCGTTGGCACGACCCCGCGGCGGACGGATCAATGGATCGATCTGTTGATATCGGTTATCGACATCGTTTAGCGCACGTACTCTCTCTCTGAGCCATGCCTGGGCATGACCACCCTGACAAGGCATCAGCGACATCGGTGACCAAGTGGAAGAAGCCTCAGGGTGGTCGTCCGTCCAGCAGCACGCTTTTACCGTCCCCTGTTGCGTCCCTGGTCAGCTTGGTGACGCAGTCGACCTCACTCTCGCTGCGGCTGTGGACGTATCTTGGGGGTTTTGTAATAAATAGCGCCAGAGCAACAACTCTCACCGGCTTAGAGCTAAGCAGAGCTGTGGTAGAAGGTATCCTTATACGGGCTGGCCGAGATGTAGTCTCTCGGAGCAGCGACGAGCATGGAAGATCGGAGGCAGAGTCACTCTTGGAGCGTAGTGTGAGCCTTTCCTCCTCTATATGTATCTATATACGTGCTTGGGATAGCTAATGTTTGATTGTAGCTGGCAACTCTGCACACCACCATTACGTCTGCTTCATTCTTCGCCTCTGCCGGCTTCCATCTTTCGACAGTTACACTCTCCTCTGTGACATCATTTTCTCAGACGCTTCTTTCGACGCTAGATGCCATCCTTGGGTCTACCGAATCATCCAGAGCAATCGCCTCGATCATTACCCTCATTCGACGTGAATTTCGTAATCCTGAGGTCATTCCGCTTGGAGAGACGGTTGGTGTTGGAGATCTACTCGTTGGCTCTATAGGGTTTGTTTTGTTGCAGCGATGGGGCCGTAGACAGACGGACAAGGAAACCCGGCAGAACGGGAACGAGGAAACCATATGGGACGTTGTCATCCTCGATAATGGGCTAAGAGCCGATGTTGTTGGGACTCACCAAACGGCGTTTGGCGAAGACATGGACGAAGGTGATTCTTCGTCCTTGCGGCCATCCTCTTTCCTTATACCTGATACAAGCGGAAATGAGAGCCTAGATACCCTTGAGCGAGGAAGCCGGTCTTTCAGTCATCTTGTTCCCCACGTATCTCTTCATGCAGATTGCGAACATGACCTTGGAGATGATGAGATTCGTCGTTATATTGCGGAGCAGCTACCGCGAGGTTGTCATGCAACCATAAAGGTCGATACAGTCACCGCTAGGACAATAACGGTAGACGTTTTTGACTCAGGCCGTGTCAACATTTCTCCCCCGCCTGGAACTACAAAGATTGAAGAAAGGGTGCAGCCAGAATACAATAACGCAATTGTTGGTTCAGAACTAATAGGAGAATCTCTCCCGAAACATACAGTTGTTTTTAAGACAGTGTCAAACTCTTTCCATGACTCAGAGTTGCGGATGCCTTCCCAAGTTACTACACCGGACGCACAATATGGTTGGTCTCAAACAGGTTTTAGAGAGAATACCTCCAATGACGATGCGAGATTTACACAGTCGGCCAGTATTGAGACCAGCCCCCGGATGCGGCCAAAACGCACTCATCGACGTCGGCGGACTTCTGCGTCAGATACAAGTGGCTCCGAGACTCCAAGAACTGTTGGGACTAGGTCTTTTGCACGCATAACCAGCAAGGCGAAGGCTAACGTAGAGGAAAAGCCCGGGAACAACTTAGCAAAGAGGTTATCAAAGGGAGCTTCAACTGCAGCGCAGGGTAACCCCTCTGTTAGCCCCTTTCACGAAACCAGGAGCAGACACAAAAGCGGCCTGAAAAAGGTGCTAAGTTCCAGCAAAGAAAGGGAAAAGAGCAATACCTCTGCCGTAAAAAATAAGGCCGTGATGTCAGATTCCACAAATAGAATACGGCCACTCTCTCCCAAAAAAGAGAAATCTACTCCAAGAAAGGTTGAACGCGAAGCCAGCTCCAACGAGGCTAATTCCGGAAATCAGTTAGCATCCAGCCGCTACTTACTTCGCGAGAAAGGCCCAGATTCTTTCACTCACACAGATCCTTACTCCATACGATCTCCAGAGACACAGCCTAGCTCTCCGTCTTTTCCCAGAGAGCATATCCGCAGCAACTCCTCCTTGTCAAAGGCTAGGTCGGAGAAAGACATGTCTCTTTTCCTCAACTTCACCAGCCGCCCCGGTACCCCGATGATGTCTCGGCGCAACTCGTCTAAATCAGCTGTTCCTAGCCTCTACTCTATTGCCACAGGATCCGAAACCTCGCTCTTGCTAGCACCTCGAACCGGGAAGAGTGCGTATGACGACAATTCTGCTCTCTCATCTCTCTCACGTACCGGATATGTCCCTGGGCTTTACCCGTCCAACAACCTAGTACGAAATATACGTCGTTTCTCTCGCTTTTCATCTGCATCATACGGGTCAAATTTTTTAAGGATAATGGGCATTTCTAATGCCACTACTCAGTTGCGTTATGAGGACCCAGTCGATCACCATGAGCATAATTCATTTTCAGACTACACAGGGCTACCAGCATCAACCATTCTGCTTTCGTCGTTCGTTGACACGGCTGGCGGCACGAATGCTGCAGGTATTAATTCCGAGGGGTTCCCTTTAGTCCATTATTTATCCATAGATCACGAATCTAAAGCTGCTGTCTTAACACTGAGAGGTACCTGGGGCTTCGAAGATATCCTTACCGATATGACCTGCGACTATGACGATATGATTTGGCTTGGGAGAACTTATCAGGTCCATAAAGGCATGCTAGCCTCTGCAAGACGTCTTCTAGAAGGCGGCGGAGGCAAAGTCATGGCTACACTTAAATCGGCCCTTGAGGAGTTTCCAGATTATGGTGTTATTTTTTGCGGCCACTCCCTTGGAGGTGGAGTAGCCGCCCTACTCGCAACGCTTATGTCACAGCCCCAGCATCCCGACCTGCCTGGTCCATCCTTTGTCACATCATCATCACAGCAGGGCTTTACTGGACTACTTCCCGCCACTGCCAACGAAGCCACTCAGGGCACTCATCAGCCAATGGGCCAGTTTTCATTACCTCCCGGTCGACCTGTCCATGTATACGCATACGGCCCACCTGCCGTGATGAGTCCACCACTCCGTCTCGCCACCCGTGGATTGATCACAACAATTGTTAATGGGCATGATGTGGTCCCTACCCTTTCACTGGGTGTATTGCATGATTTCCACAGCGTAGCCCTGTCTTTTAAGCGCGATGTTGCCGACGCTAAGTCTCAGGTTAAAGCCAGGGTGTGGGATGCAATCACGCGCAGCATTGCTAACAAACTAAATATGGATAACCCTTCTTCGATACATGCCGGTGATGGTCTAGGCGAAGATTCATGGGCGTGGAATACCCTCAAATCCCTGCGAGAAGGTCTTACAGCTACAAAACTGTTACCTCCGGGCGAAGTTTTCGTTGTTGAAACAATGCGAGTACTCCAGCGAGATGCTTTCTCTGGAGATATGGTTGCTGGGGATGGCTATCCTCGCCTTGGCCGGCCCGCCACCCGGGTTCAGCTAAAATACATCCGAGACGTGGAAAAGAGGTTTCGGGAAGTCAAGTTTGGCTCTGGTATGCTGTTGGACCACAGTCCAGCAAGGTACGAGTCGAGTCTGGCCATCCTAGCCCGAGGGGTCCTTGAAGATGAGTGACATGGATGTCTACCTCACCACTGATCTTTTTATATTTCACATGAATGATATACACGAATTTCCTATATCATATTCGGGACTTTTTGGTTGAGCATATTGGATTCGGTTTTGGCCATCATCGTAAGCCTGGAGCATTTGGAGCATTTATTTTTGACACCCCCTTATATTTCGTTTTTCACATCCTATAGAAAACAACATTATACCTTGTTGTAATGCCGGCGTTCTGAGAAATACCCCAAATACCCTTAGATAGTTAGGTCTAGTTAGTATATATCGTCGAGCTCTCAAATCGTATGACTCAGTTTCGTTTCCCAGCATCCCCAATAGATCTTAAATCAGTATAGTACGACTTAAACAACTGGGCGAAGTATCGGTCTTTGCGAATAGATCACTAAATAGTAGATCATTCCATCATAGCATTAAGAATATTTCCACGGCATGTTTCAATCCTTCATAATCTGGAATGTTCTCAGGCCAATAAATTGGAGACTTTCCCCTGCCAAGCGAGTATAAAAGGATAAGTAAGGGACAAGCATGTGTGCGTTCTATTGTGGTTTCATCCGTAGGATCAAAAGGGCCACATGTGGCCAGATAATGGCTCTCTGTCCTGTCCTTGGTTTTCGAGTACTTCCGTCAAGGTCATGCCACTAATATATCTATAACAACAAGGAGTCGAAAATATATGAGTGGCCAGGTAGTCAACTTGCAAGAGTGGCTCCTAGAGCCGTGGCGTGAGGATGATCCATTGCAGCCTGGTTTTGCTTCCTAATACCGAGGGTCTCTTCATCTCTGCTTGTCATTTGGGGATTGGTATCCGTATCCTTGGGTAGATTGTTGCTGCTTCTGATATTGCTCTTTTTGCCGTACAAGCTCTGCTTTCTCTGCCTGTCTTGCTTCAATTCCCTTGATCTGCTTTTCAAGCATCTCTCGTTTCGCAACCAAGTTCTCCCTGGCGAGCAGTAAACTGTTTATTTTCTCTTCCGGCGTGGCATCAAGGCTCTTTCGGACTTTCTATATAACGTATCAATGTCATGTTAGTGGCCTGTGATATCAATTGGGCATGAATATAGGGAGTTTGACTTACCTCTTGTTCTTCCTGGCTCATCTTCAAGCTTGCACCCCATACTGCACCTGAAGCTGTGATGATGGCAACTGCACCAGCCAGTATTTTATTCTTAGCTTGTGACGACAGCATGATATTCTTTCTAATGGCTCAGGTCACGCATATGAACTCTGTAGCTTCCATTAATGTGCAAGACGAAGCACTGTATAGAATTCCGTGTTTCCCTTTTGGTTGCGCTGAAGTTCGAAGTCGAAAAGCTTCAAGAACAAAGTTAAAGTCTTGGCGCGTAACTAGTTAACTATCTTCTGTTTATTATTATTTCGACAACACTCCATCATCAACCCCAGGAGCCACGACCAAAAACAGAACGATCACCAGCCATATATACCCCCAGACTCCTTAAGAAGGATAACCAGAGCCTCCTACGGAGAATCTTCTGAAAATGAACCCAAACAATGGACAGTCGACCCTCTCTCCGGCGAAGATGAGGCAATATTCGCACCTCCACGCGCAGCTAGCTCAGCTTAACGCCAACCTCGCCGATACGCAGAATCTCATGCGCATGACAAGCGCCCAAGCAAGCGACCTTAGATTCCTGGGCGGTTACGTAGGGAGTCTGTTCATGGGTGCGGCGAAAGTCCTAGGAGAGGAGGGGATAAACACGCAAGATGACAGCAGCAAAAAAGACGGAGACAAAGGCAAAAGTGCATCCCAAACGAATGACGAGAGTTACAACTACGAAGATGGCGATGAGGGCCATGGTTAGGGGAACTATGGGGAGTCAGATATGGCATCCACTTTATTAACCGATAATACAATACGATGCCATGGCAGGATGAACGGCTCTCATGAGCTCAACTGATGGACTTCTTGCTGGAGAAGTGTGCATTGCTGCACGGAAAATTACTTGGTCGCTTCATTGGCGCAAGTCCAACAGCTGGTTTGTTTGCTAGTACGGAGTACATTGCCCAAAACAGCCTATTGTGTGGAGTGGACTACACCAGCAATTGTCCTCCATTTACCCACGCG